ATAGCGTGGGTACGGATGAAAAATTTGATTGGGTGTTCCCCATACATTATGTGGACTGCATGTGACAAGCTTATAGGGGAGACAATGTAATCATCTTCTAGAAAAACCTATTGCGGTAGGCAGAAATGGTGATAGGAAGTTGGGGAGGAAGAAATTATACCTGCCAGAACCCTTTCCTTGTGCTTGCCGCTAAGCACAGAGCAGATGTTTCTGATAGTGAGTATCTGCCGGCCCGTGGGTGGCTTGGACATGATTCATATTAAAGCTGGTTGGAACATGGTCAGCTGCCATGGGTAGGAACGACCGCCGTTTTGGGTTCTGATAGATTTGTCAGTCAGGTCTCTTGTGTTTAGTCGGTAAGAAGAAGATCTGATTGAATTACTTTTGGTGTGTGAGCCTCTTTCGCTTGCCTTTTGGGACAGAACGTAGCAAAAAGAAAAGCTTGCATTTCCCCTCTTCAGGTAGATGTTGGCCGCAGGAAAATGGAGAAAGCAGCATAGGGATAAAGCGGAGTATTGTAGCGGAAGACATACAATGTGTGAAGCCTTAAGGTTGGGGAAACCCTTCAATCTGAGTGTAGAGCGCCGTGCTGGCTGGGCATACGTGAAGCCCAGTTTAGTGCCTAACCAAGGAAGCTTGATTTTGAGGGATGTGGGGCTTCACAGAAGAGGTTCGGTGGGCAATGCATGTTTACAGGTGCAGGGGGCAGGGGAGAAGCTGATGGCGGAGGAACAGTATGCAGAGAGAGAAGCTCTTGGGTGGATCAGGACTATTCATACACACAGAAACGTGCACCAGGATGTATGGGCTGGACGACTGTGGTCGAACGCCTCCCGTTATGGATACCACATAAGAGTAAGGTTCTGCGGTACAGGCCGCTTGGCTTTGTGGGCTGGTGTAGAAACTGATGTTGCAGTGATACCCTAGGTTCTAAACTGCTGGCTCCAGTGGTTGTGAATGTAAAGGAATCCCTGACGCTTAACTACATCCCAGTGCTAAGGAACGATCCGAAAGAAGCTTAGTGTTCCGAAAGGAGCTGAGCACTTCCTTCTAATCCTGTTCTCAGTTGCTTGTACAGCGCTCAGCTGTGGGCCTGAAATTGGTTTTGCTTTGATCTCTGCCTTGGAGGGGTGTAATGGAAGAAAAACTATTCAGATACTTGACCCTAAAAACAATGGTGCCAAAATGGCTGTGATGAGGAAGTTGAAACCTGCCAGGGAAACTCCTTGAGAAATGCCTGTCTGTGTTTCTTTTTCTACAGCATTGTAAGGCGAGGTGCAAAGTACATGGGTAGGGGCTGTGTTCCCTTCTTAGGCAAGTCTTTGCCTTGTTCACTGCACTATTGCAAATAACCTACTTTTCTGGACACTAGTCCCGTGGGCACACGAGGAATGCACAGTAGCAGAAGGTGTTAGTTATAGGTGAGGGTCTAGAAAACACTTTCTCTGAGCATGGCAAATAGTGTGAGATCATAAGAACAGCCGTCCTGGATCCGACCAAAGGTCCATCCTGCCCAGTGTCCTGTCTGCTGACAGTGGCCAGTGCCAGGTGCTCCAGAGGGAGTGAACAGAACAGGGAATCATCAAGTGATCCATCTCCTGCCACCCATTCCCAGACAAACAGAGGCTAGGGACACCCTCCCTCCCCTCTCTGGCTAATAGCTATTGATGGGCCTAAACTCTGTGAATTTAACCAGCTTTTTTTTCCAGCCCTGTTAAAGTCCTGGCCTTTACAGCATCCTCTGGCAAGGACGGGTTGACTATGGGTTGCGTGAAGTACTTCCTCTCGTTTGTTTTAAACTTGCTACTTATTAATTGTATTTGGTGACCCCTTCTTCCTATGGGCATAAGTAACTTTTCCATCTTCACTTTTTTCCACACCAGCCATGATTTTATAGACCTCTGTCCTATCCCCCCCTTAGTCTCCCCTTTTCTAAGCTGAAGAGTTCCAGTCTTATTAATCTCTCTTCATATGGCACCCAATCCAACCCCCTAATCGTTTGTTACCCCTTTTCTGAACTTTTGCCAGTGCTAAGGTATCTGTTTTGAGATGAGGTGACCACATCTGTCCACGGTATTCCAGATGTGGGTGTTCCATGGATTTATACAGAGGCAATAAGATATTCACATAATTAAGAACTGCTGTATTAGTTATGCGTGAAGGGACAGAGTTAAGGTTGCTTGAGCACCTTTGACTTTGGTATTTTTGGACTCTGGGAGCATTTAAATGAGCCACCTCAGAGTTCCCTTCCTGAGATGTTTGTTGAAATAGTCCCAGTGCCCATTACTTTTTAAGTTTGAGTGAATTGAGCCACAATGATTGCCAGCAAATTGTTTCCTATCCACAAATAGCCTAGTCATGGCTGCGGTTTCAACCGAATACTTTGGGGAGGTGCTGTGCACGTTGTTCACAGTATTTTGCTCCTGGCCACAGGGAGCCCTTTGCCAATGTGCCCTCCTTTGAGCAGAGCCACCCTGCCAATCATCTTGAATTGTGTGGTGAGTTGATACACCCCCGTGGAATTTTTCTCTCTGCGGCGGGCTGATACCCAGTGACTTGGTGAGACTTGGAGCTGCTTCATCCCCCAGAGCAGAAGTTGCCGAGGAAAAGTGCCTTCCGAAGTGGGGGGGAAGAACTTCCCAGCTGGCAGCGGAGATTAGAGTATTGCAAGTATTAGTGGTGATTGTAACCTAACAGATCAGCCCCAAGGCCACTTGCAGCACTTCGTCCACGCGCTGTTCACTTCTGCTACCGTAGCAGTGCAGCTCTGCCGTTTTGTAATGGGGGAGACGATGGCCTTTCGCAGCTGCTGACTTACAAAACGTAGTGACAACTCCTTAGCACTGGAAGTACCACTGAGGGCTGCTGGATAAACCCACCAGATCCACTTGCGCTGAGACCTGAGCCTCTTCTGTCTGAGCAAGGCAGCTGTATGAATTCCTCGCAGGCCTAGCATTGCTGCTTTTCATCACCTCCGTCTTGCCGGGTGTCTGTGCTGAGCTTTGGCACATCTTGCTGCATTCCTGGCCCCCCATCCCAGTGGTGGAAATGGAGCTGTCTGCAAACAGCAGATGGCAGGGCAAAGCAGCAGTGGCTTTTATCTTGCAAAAAAAAAAAAACCATTAAAATTGTTCAGTTCTGAAACAACGTGATGAAAATAAATTCCAAGCTGCTGCTTTCCCTCTATCCTTTATGTAACTTCCCCAGTAGGCCAAGGGCCAGGGAGCTCTTGCCTACAGTGAGCAAGATTCAACAGGCGGTCCAGCCTGGCTGGGACCAGACAGCCTGAAAGACGTGGGTATAGATACCAGCTTGAACTGAGCCATTTGCTTCATTGCTTTGATACCGCTGGGTGCGGGTCAAAGCCAGACACCTTCATTTGAGATGTCCGGGGCTAATATTTGAGGCCGTGTTTTGCGTACTGTTGTTTGCACCCAGCCTCATAGTGACCACTAGGTTCTATTTTTAAAATAAGCAAACGTATACTACAGAATGGACAACTTATCGGTCCCCACATTGTATGCAATGCTGTTGTAGCCGTGGTGGTCACAAGATTAGAGAGACGGTGGGGGGGTTAATATCTTTTATTGGGTCTACTTCTGCTGTTTCAAGCTCTGTACACTTGAAAGCTTGTGTCTCCCACCAGTAGAGGTTGGTCCAATAAGATATTCCGTCCCCCACCTTGTCTTTTTATTCTCCAGATTGTCTGCCCTGTTCTTCTGTTTGTCCTCTATGGCCGCATTTCTCAAACTGTGGGTCCTGACCACCCGGGGGGTCGCGAGCAACTTAAAGGGCGGTCGCGGTATCACAAAGTTTGAGAACCCCTGCTCTAGGGAATTCCATGCCTTACGGCTACCTCTGTATTTCTTCCCATCAGAGACGTTCACGTTAATGGCTGTGGGTTCAACGAAACCCCTCAGGCTGCTGGGACAGCAGGCAAACCACTCAGCATAGATAATAGCAGGTTCGCCCTACCTAAGCACTCAGACCCATGAGAGTAGTTAGTGCCACTTTAACTCCGGTGCTTGGAGAAATGCAACTTTTCAGGGCACTTTTATTAAGCCTTCAGGCTTTGAGCTTTTGAGGGTGACATGAAATGGTTTAAACTAGGGATGTTAAATACCAGTTAATTGATTTGTCCATTAACCTCCTGAATTCTTACCGGTTACTCGACTATTCTATTGTCCCCAGGGGTGGGGCCAATCCAGCCCCACTCCCAAGGATCCTCTTGCCACTCCACACTGCTGCTGCTGTATCAGAGGCAGCAGCGCAGGGTGCCAGACGGGAGCTGGTCTGTGAGCAGAGCCAGCTTAAAAACTAGCTCCTCTCAAAGGGCCTGTCGCCCTGTGCTGCTGCCTCTGATACAGAGACAGCAGTGTGGGGTGACAGCAGCCCCTGTCTGGGGGAGGGGTGAGCTCCTGGACCTGGCGCGAGCTGGAACTGAGCCCGACTGTCTGCCCGTGCAGCTCCTAATACACTTGAAATGCAGAGCCATAGCAGGGGTAGGTCTCGCACCCGGCACAAACCGGGACTGAGCCAAGCTGCTGGCCAGCCTGCTAAAACAATTTACTGGCCTGTAAGTCTATAGCGATAACTTTTGCTAATCGGTTGACTGACTGTACTATTACGGCCCTAGTTTAAACGTTGTATTTGTTTGGGATCCTATATTACAAGCAGAATGCCTGGATACCGTTTCGATTCATACGATGAAACACGCATTTGAAAAGCCTCTTGCTCTGTTCAGCTACCAGGCCCCAAGCTCAGAGGAAGAGTCTTTCTCTCCTGCCAGTTGTGAACACTTAGTCATATCCGACTAAAATGGCAAGATTGTTTTCAAGCTGGGTCTAGCCAGCCGTTGAGGGAAATCATTGCTCACCAGGAGAGAGATGTCCAGAATGCTTGTAACATCTTTCCTAGCTGAATAGTATTAAGGAGTTAAACAGCTGGGGCTTTCCAAAGAAAGCCACTTCTTTGACTGAAACCTGGACATGTGGCTTTTTTAAATGAGTAAACCGATGTTTCTGTACGATTACGGCGGCTGCAATTTGTCTTTTGACATCCCATGTTTTCTATTCACTAGGAACAAACCAGAGGCAGTGGAAGTAACGTTTGCAGGTACGTTTCACAAATTGTTCATCTCCTTTTAGCACGTTCAAACTTGACTGGCCTGAATATCCGAGTGTCTGGCGTGCTGAATATCCGAGTGTCTGGCGTGCTGAATATCCGAGTGTCTGGTGTGCTTCAATTCAGCTAGCTCCACGGAGAGATTTGCTCAGTCGACAAACCTGCGGCTTTATGCATATGTGCTGCACAGTGTAGTTAGTAGGCGTTCCCATTGGCCGAACTGTCCTTGATTAGGCTGTTTTCTCCATCCATCCTCACCCAATTCCCTTGCCAGTGGCAGTGAATTAAATGGTCACATCATTTATACAGTGAATGAACTAAATGGTTTTAACGTGTTTACCCCATGCGCCTGGATGGCATGTGTAATGAGGTATGTAACGCCCATCTGGCTGTAGCAGAGAGAAGTCTAATTTAGAATGATAAGCACTCAAATGGCCGAGAGAAACTGAAAGCCTGTTCCTGGGAGAGCTTGCTCTCCGGAGAGATGGGAACGGATTCGAGCACAGGAAGCAAGTATTCGTGCCGTTCAGCTGTTAGAGTCCAGGTACCAGTTGGCGTTGTGCTGCTCTGGACAGAAAGCCAACTTGAACCGCGTTTTGAAATTAAACCAGACATGCTCCTTGGGAGGTGACTTTCAAACAGCCCTGGCGCTGGTGCTAGGACTGTGCGGACACCAGCGCGTTAGTTCTACAAACGTAGAGGAAGCCTAAGGCACCTTTTGCTCATCTGGCTTTTGAATTCCCCGCTTTGAGGTCTGTTTAGCCCACGCAGTACAAGTGTCAGATGTCCTGTTGGTGCCAAAGGCAAACTTCAGGTCAAGTGGGGGGGGACAAGTTCACCATCTGAGGCTTTGTCTACACTTACAAGTTTAAAGCCCAGCCACAACACAAGCTTTCCCAGCACTGTGTATAGAGCTCTGCAGATCCATGGATACCCACTTTGTCCCCACACATCCACATCTGCGGAGATCCATGGCTCAGTTTTGAGGATATGGCTGTGGATACAAATTTTGTATCCATGCAGGGATCTATGTAAACCGTCTCAACAAGGGGCTAGCTAACAGCGCTGGGCGCACACGTCATATTGCTGTAGACTGGTTCACACTGGCCCTTGACAGTGCTGTAGCTTGCTGCATTCGTGGAGACGGGTGGGTTTTTCCACCTCTGATTTTACAGCACTGTGAAGTGCCAATATCGGTTCGGCCTCAGAGAGCGTTTCCTCTCCGTACAGTGGTGTAGATTAAGCGTGCGGCACACTTGTCAGTGACAGTTGAAACACGACTGGGGTAACCTTTTAACGTGGGATACAAAGTTGTTAGGATCATTGTGGTCTTTGTTACTAATTTCCAGCCCTCCCAGGTAACGTTACCCTTGTTTCCATAAGTCGAGGCTGCTGTGCTTGAGCGCCCACGGTAGAGTTTCCATTTTGAAACCCGTTTACACCGGGCAGTGCTCTGGGACTAGGACACTGCACGAGAGTTCCTAACATCCCTCTGCTCTCCTTCCTCCCAAGATTTCGATGGAGTCCTTTATCACATTTCCAACCCCAATGGAGACAAGACCAAAGTGATGGTCAGTATTTCTCTGAAATTCTACAAAGAGCTGCAGGAGCACGGTGCAGATGAGGTGAGTTTTTGTGCCTATTTTCCTGGGATCCTAGCCCTCACCCGCACACCCTTGCCCTCGAGCATACTGTGAGGGGTCCCCTGACTACAATGGGTTAAGACCCTGCAGGTCAGAAAAGTGTCTCTGCAAAGTTGCACCACCTAATAGACACGGTGGAACTCCTGTTGCCAGCCTTGGGCGGGCACAATTCTGGAAGAACAGGCTGAATTCTGTTCCTGTCGATATCTGATTGGTTCCAGTTAGCGAGCATTGCTACCGGGGAAAGCAAGAGAGGCGGAACACAGCTGGTTTTTCACATCCCCCTCATGGCGTGTAGGGCACTGGCCGTTCGAAATATCTTCTTGCACACGGAACCCACTTGCTAAGGAAGTCACTGAATAACTCTGGAATCCCACAATGTTGCTTTTCTCATGCTACCCACCCTTGAGAGCAAAGGGAAGGCTGTCTGGAACATGCAGAAGCCTTTATCGGTAGGCCCTGCTGCCTGTTCCGCTTTTGGAGCTGGTGCGTGAAGTCGCAGGTTTAGTTCCTGTTCAACTGTGCTCAGGCTGCACAGAGCCATTTATGGTAGAAAGAAAAGGCCTTTCTGAACATCTGTGCGCTGTGGTTGGGTCTTGGAGCAGGAAGTATGACTCAGTTCCTGATTTAGTCTTCACGTCTCCTCATGTTACCTAATGGGGTTCACGCTGCATGCCTCCGCAGAGAGGCGTGCAGCACTTCGCCTCTGGGTGTCTGCTGCTTGGTTTTCCTGTGGAAAAAGGGGGGAAAGGCTCAACCCTTGTGTCCAGTTTTGGGCCCCCCACTACAGAAAGGATGTGGATGCATTGGAGAGGGTCCAGCGGAGGGCAACCAAAATGTTTCGGGGGCTGGAGCATATGACCTATGAGGAGAGGCTGAGGGATTTGGGCTTATTTAGTCTACAGAAGAGCAGAGTGAGGGGGGATTTGAGAGCAGCCTTCAGCTTCCTGAAGGGAGGTTCCAAAGAGGATGGAGAGAGGCTGTTCTCAGTGGTGACAGATGGCAGAACAAGGAGCAATGGTCTCCAGTTGTGGCGGGAGAGGTCCAGGTTGGATATTAGGAAAAACTATTTCCCTAGGAGGGTGGGGAAGCACTGGGATGGGTTCCCTAGGGAGGGGGTGGAGTCTCCATCCCTAGAGGTGTTTCAGTCTCGGCTTGACAAAGCCCTGGCTGGGCTGATTTAGTTGGGATTGGTCCTGCCTAGGGCAGGGGGCTGGACTTGACCTTCTCAGTCAGTCTAATTCGGGGGGAGGGCTAGCTCAGTGGTTTGAGCATTGGCCTGCTAAACCCATGGTTGTGAGTTCAATCCTTGTGGAGGCCATTTAGGGATTTGGGGCAAATATTTGTCAGGGATGGTACTTGGTCCTGCTGTGAAGGCAGGGGACTGGACTCGATGACCTTTCAAGGTCCCTTCCAGTTCTAGGAGATAGGCATCTCCATTAATTTAAGGTCTCTTCCAGCTCTGTGGTTCTATGATTAACCCTTGGGGTTACTACACGTGACTGGAAAGCATCTCACCCCTTGCGAACTCCCAACAAGTGGAGAGTGGGAACAGTCCAACAATGCTTGAAATAAGTCGTGACTTGCTAATCTGGCGGCTGCCTTTTATCGACTTAGGAATGCTCCGCCAGCTTAGCCCTGGGTGTCAGTAAGAACTTACTGGGCACCAGAGTCCACGGTTAGCCAGTCTGTAAAGGAGCAAGCTGATGCTCCCTTTCCCTTCAATACAGAAGGTGCAGCCTGTAGAAACAGCAGCTTCCAGAAGCCTGGTCTGCATTGAACGTTTTAGTAAAACTTCCCATCAGTGCAGTCCACGATTGGCAGTTCCAGTGTAGACCAACTGCCAGCGTTTTCCCCCATGTGGCTTACAGCCGCTCTGAGCCAGAGCTGCGCTTCCAGTGATAAATATGCCAAACAAGCATTCTGGCCTTTGCATTACAGCACTAGTGAGAGACTGTAATGTAAAGTTTGTGGTAGACGTATCTTCACCCAAGCAGCTGTCTGGGATCCGTAGCCTCTGCGGCCTGCACTTCCATGTGGAAGGTTAGGGACTCGTTTCTGGCTCCCCCAATATAGATTCTCAGTGTGTTTCATCAGTAGAGGGAGAACGGAAATATTTTATAAAAATACCTGTTGGCTTCCAAATCAGGATGTAAATCCGTCCCGTGCTCGTACTTGGAAATGGCAGTTCCATTTTAAGATGAAGTCTTCTAACTAGTTTCTTTTGCACTGTGGAGAAGACGAAATTTAGTATCCCCAGCCGCAGTTGATGGTCTTGATGTCGTGAAGCGTGCAAAGTGGCCGTTTCCATCCCAGCTTAAATATCTCCCTTGTCATCGGCTGTTGCTAGAGAAATGCTGATCGCTGGATGTGGGGGTTGGCATGCAGACGTCACGAAGGCGTCTCTTAATTCTTGCTGCAAAGGCCGGTAGATGAGCGTCTGTTGTGTCCTGTCACAATGAGCTACGGTCCTGTGCACTAGGTGGTAAAATAGGACCAATCTCTGCAGCAAACAGCCCGAAATTCAGCTGCAGCGTTAACGCATTCTGTTGTCATCAAGCGCTTCTCATTCCTGACTTCCTCACGGACACATGCAACTGCATGTCAGGCATGTGAAGCTCCGCACAGCTTGGTGTTGGAGATGCCTTCCTTTGCTGGCTCAGCTTCTGGGATTTTATCCAAGCAGCTTGGCCCAGCACATCCTTCTGCCAGCCTCCTATGTGCCAGGCAGTAGGGGTGAGGAGGGGCTGGCTTGAAATCTTGGCAACTGCGCTGTTCTTTAGCATCTGGCTTCTGTCTCGAGCCCAGACTTGGCCTGAACTGATGTCCAGACAGCTGATGTCCAGCCTTTGAGAAAAGGGAGTGGTTAGCAGCAGGGAAAGAATAGGATGTGCTGGGAAGGAAAGACTTACACTGCCAATGCTTTGTCTGTTTCCTAGTTACTGAAGAGAGTGTATGGAAACTTCTTGGTAAACCCAGAATCAGGTAAGTCTGAATCTAATTACATTTAAAACCAGTGTGTGCGGGCGGCATCGGCCTGGGCTCGCTCTCTGCGTTAGAAACGGGGTTGAGACGAGCACTGTGCGTGGACACGGTTGGGCTCTTAGCGCTGCCGAAAGGCATTTAAAACAAAGCACCAGATCCAGGTGGGCTGGGTACCGCGGGGCAGAGTGTTTGCAACACAAACCGTAATTCTTGCTTCCACCCCCGAGACAGCCTCCGTTCCTCACAATAGGGATTTTTGTTCTGTGAGATGAGACTGACAGGCCTTTAATGAGATTCAGAAAACCATGGTTACTTGTAACAACCTCTCTTCCTACTTGCGCGTTGCAAAATTTAGGAACAGCATCTACTGAGCTGTCCCTTCTGCCTTTGAGATGGAGGGAAGAAGGCTTAGCCCTACCATGGCCTTGCTTTGAGGTGTCATGGCTGTCCCCTCCGCTGGGTTAGAAAGTATCCGACACTCACGTCCAGGGGTCCCACGCTCTGGAGAGCTGTCCAAGGGGCAGGAGGACACAAGGTGCAAGCTACCTCGTGGTGGGTTTTGATTCAAGGTGGGTTAACCTCCCTTTCCAGGTTACAATGTCTCTTTGCTGTATGACCTGGAGAACCTTCCGGCAACCAAGGATTCCATTGTGCACCAAGCCGGCATGCTGAAGCGGAACTGCTTTGCCTCCGTCTTCGAGAAATACTTCAAGTGCCAGGAAGAGGGGAAGGAAGGGGAGAAGCGAGCTGTCATCCATTACAGGGACGACGAGACGATGTAAGCATGCCGAGGGTAGCCCCCGCCTGGCGTTCATCAGCCGGGAGAGCGGGGCCCAGTAGGGTGTAAATCCGCTCCAGGCCTGTGTGTTCAAACATGTGGGAAGTGCTGTGAAGTCCCTGGTCAATGCTTGTCCGTCTGACTGACCGAGGTTTAATTCCCAGTGAGGGGTTAGTGATGGTATGGTGACGTCGGACACTCAAACGCCGTGCCTTGTGCCCTGGGGAAGGCTGAGGCCCCAGGCGCAAAGGGGTGATGGATTTAATGTGCCAGTAGCTGTCCTTACATATGATCAATGTCACCTGCAGTTACTACAGTAATAGAGATGTAGCCGTGTTAGTCTGGTCTTGCTGAAACAAAAGACAGTTTAAAAACTACAGTTCACTTCAGGAGCTCACCTTGTGACTTGTCAGGCAAAGGCACCCGATGCAGACACCACCACCCCTGCAGCGGTTGTTCATCTGGGTTGTATGTGGCAGCAGCAAAATAGCTTTGCAAGCTGTGCACGTCTCGGGTGAAGTTTTCAGCCTGTCCTCACCGGGACTTGGTTCCCCCCCCCAGGTACGTTGAGTCGAAGAAGGACCGTGTCACGGTTGTGTTCAGCACAGTATTTAAGGATGACGATGACGTGGTGCTCGGAAAGGTGTTCATGCAGGTATGGCACACGAAGGGTATTGAGTTGCTCGGGGGAGGGGGGTTATAAATGGCATAATCCAGAAATCGAAACACTCCTTTTTATAGCTGATCACTGAACGCGGAGGTGCGGCTCCAAGGAGCGATTGCTGGTGGCTTAATGCTTGTAAATGCCTCTCAGCAGCCTGTTGTCTGTGGGCTGGAACTCTGCGGGATCAGAACCACTTTCATGCTCTTACAGTCTCTTCTCATCTGGTCTGTCGTGTTGGCGTCTTTAATTATTGAATTCCTGGCTGGCTTAACACTGTTAGGTTCCTGTTATGTATTTACGGAACTCCTTTCATCCCAGAGTACGTCAGCGTGCAGATAAGAACGGCCAGACTGGGTCAGATCAAAAGGTCCACCTAGCCCAGTGTCCTGTCTGCCCACAGTGGCCAGTGCCAGGTGCCCCAGAGGGAGGGAACAGAGCAGATAATCCTCACGTGATCCCTCCCCTGTTGCCCATTCCCATCTTCTGACACACAGAGGCTAGGGACACCCTCCCTGCACTGGTACTGAAATGCAGCCACCTCTGGTGTGGGGTTCAGCTCGGTGGGGGAAGGCTGCCTTTTGATGAGGCACCAGAGCAAACCTTTGTTATTATGGGAAGTACTGGGGCATCCCTTTATACCTGTAGGGAAGACAGGCCCATCCCAAACCGCGCTATTTCTAGACTGCTCCAGGCCTCAATGCGGGGCTGGGTTTAGGGGCAGGGAGCTGACTGCCTAGGGTGCTGGGGTGGGAGGCACTGGGCTCGTAGGGCGGTTTGCGGTGTTAGACGGAAGGGGAAATAGAAGTAAAATGTTCCATGCATTCCCAAGGTGGATTCATTTGTCACTGCCTCCTGGAGTGATCTTGGCTTCTGTAGAATCTCGTGGAACAATCCAGAGGGTGAGACCTACATTTTCCTTGTCCGGTTGTCAGTCCTGCCCTTGTGGGTAGGCAAAGCGCAGGGTTAGTCAGTCCATGAGATACAAGCACAAAGTGGAGTGAGAGCCCAGCTGCAATATTGTGCAACTTGTCTTATTGTGTAATTCTGAAAGCTTGGAGGAGAAGACTTGTGGTGTTTCCTTATCCGCAGCATGAATATGTACAGATCTACCATGCAAATGACCGGGATGAATCATGCATGCAAATCCTGCGTCAGTTGCAAAATGGGCTACAAAGGCCATACAAAATAAGGTGAACTAGTGGAGGGGAGGGTGCTGAAGTCGCTCCGCGCCTAAGGCCCCATTTTGTCTAGGGCCTCAGTGGACCAGCATTGGGCTGTACTCAAAATCCGATTGTTCCCTTCTCCGTTCCACAAACGGAGCTTAGGAAAGCAGGTAGCTTCTCCCTGTGAAAGCACTGCTCAAGGGAATGCTGTAACCAACGCAGTTCAGTCACAGCAAGGGGAACGGCTACAAGCCAACATGGGAAAAGACTGGCTCAAAGAGTTTTTAGATGAGTCAGACGTATTCAGGTTGGCAGAAGATGACGCAATTCATTCTAGGGTGCTTCAGGAGCTAGCTGAAGCAATCTGACCCATTAGCAATTATCTTGGAGAGCTCCTGGAGGACAAGTGAGATCTTAGAGTGCTGGAGAAGGGCAAACATAATACCTGCCTTTGAAAAGGGGAACAGAGAAGACCGGGGACTTAGGTCTGTTAGCCTGAGTTTGGTATCTAGAGCGATTCTGGCACAAATCGTGAATCGATTCGTAAGTGCCTAGATGTGAATAGGGCTAAAGGACTAGCTAGCTTGGGTTTGTCAAGAACAAATCGTGCCAGGCAGGGTCACTGGCCTAGTGGGGGGGAAGCAGTCGACGTGATAGATCTTGATTTCAGTAGGGCGTTTGACACAGGCCCACATGATGTTCTCATAAACAAACTAGGGAACGAGGCCTAAAGGAAATTACGATAAGATGGACGCAGACTCGTGCAACTGCTCTCCAAGAGTCGTTATCAGGCGCGGAGGGTGCATCTGGTGACGTCTGCAGGGTCTGCTGCTGCCTCTGGTAGTTGTCAGTATTCTCATTGATGATGAATAACCGGGCGGAGAGCGTGCTTATAAAATTGCAGCTGACGCCAAGCGGGTGGGGGGTGTAAGAACTGTGGAGGATGGGACTGGAATTGAAAAGGAGCCTGGACAATTGGTCAGAAATCAATAAGATGTAATTCAGTGAAGACCGGTGCCAAGGACTTTGCTTAGGGAACTCAAGTGCAGAACTACAAGGGGAGGGAGGGGGGCAAGGCTGCGGGGGGCTATAGCGGATGACAGATTGAGACAGCGACGCGATGCAGTTCCATAAAAGGCCGGTTCTGGGAGGCATCGGGAGTAGTGGCGTATGGAGGACGTGGGAGAGAACTGTCCCACACCACTCAGCGCTGGGGAGGCCTCCGCAGGACCGGGCTGTCCAGTTGGGGTACTGCACTCAGGAAAGATGCGGATTAATTGGCGAAAGCCCTACGGAGAGCAGCCAAAATGATCAAAGGGTTAGAGAACCCGGCCTGAGACACAAGGTTAAAAGCCCCTGGGCGTGTTGAGTCTCGAAAGAAGACTGAGCCCGGGGCCTGGTACGTCTGTGGGGCTGCCAGGGAGAGGGGGCTGCCCAGTTGTTCTCCATGTCGACTGAAGAGATAACACATGATGGGCTGAATCTGCAGCAGGGGAGACTTGGGTAGTTAGTAGGAAAACCTTTCTCACTCTCCGGGTATAGAGGAGTGGTGGAAACAGGCTGCCGGGGCAGTTGCGGAGACGCTGTCATTGTGGGGCTTAAGAACAGGTTGCGCAAACCCAGCCTGCCGTGCTCTAGGCTTACTTGGTCCTGCCTCACCTCAAGGAGCTGGACTTTGAGCTCTCCAGGTGCCTTCCAGACCTACGTTTCTGCGAGTCTCTGGAGGAGCGTTCCGCCTTAAAAAACCGCCCTAGCCTGTTTTAAGGAGTTGGGCTTTTTTGGTATTGCGTGTGTTTGAAAACCTATAAATATGTGAGAGCCTGGGATAAGTGCTTTTCCACATCGGTCTTGCAAATAAATCATTTCTAGACCATTTTCCTCCTCGTAGTTGTCACTTGGCCAAACGAGAGTTCTTCTCTCGTTCTAATAAACAGCGTGCATGTTACGGAACAGCTTTCCGGGTCTGGCACGCTGAGACTTCATCGCTGCCGTTCTGCCTGCACTTCAGAACTCTTCTCTACACCCCGAAAGCAGGCGCGCTTGTTCACGCACCAGCTTTTTCCCCACCACCGCTGTTTGCCAGGTGCTTATCGATCCAGGCCAGTGACGCTGCCTCCCAGTGCACTCTGGGAAAAATCTGGGCATCTGTCCCATAGTGCCACAGCAAGGGGCAGACTGGTTGGCGGGTCCTGGCCTGTCCTGTTGCACAGAGAGCTGGGAGGGAAGAGGAGTAGTCCTGGCCGCATTGTAGAAAGAGTGGCAGGTTGGTTCTCGGAGAGTAGTCCTGTGCCCGCCTGGGCTGCTGGCAGGGCAAAGCACAGGCCACTAGTATTAACCTTGTAGTGGGGTAGGGCTAAGATCTGGCCAGTGAGCCTGTCCCAGAGTAAAGGCTTGTGCCGACTTCCTAGCTCGCTCTGTGCTGCGGCGTGAGTTCAGAGCCGACTTCCTGCTTGAAAGAGGAATTCTCCGGCAGCTGCCAAAGTCTCCGCCTCAAAATGCACAGGGCTAGGCTAATTCTGGGGTCCCTGAACTTCAGCTTTATGAAACAAGGGGAGCCTGTGGAGGAGTTAAAACCGATGGGGGGTGTGGGGGCCTGCCGAGGAACGGCTGCACCACGCTCAATTTCCTTTGAAGTTTCTAAAAACGTACTGTTCAAGCCACAGGAATTTCCACTCTGTGCCATGCTAATGCACTCCTCCAGCCCCCCTGCCTCTGCTCACTTACGTAATGTGGCAGCGGCTAACGTTAGCGACAACCGAGCTGCCCTTCGTGGAGAGAAGACAGGTTACCCCCTTCCGGCAGGGCAAAGCTCTTTGAACTGTTTTCTCCATTGGCCTTAGCAGTCAGACGTCAAAGCTGTAAAGCTTAATACAAGGAGATCCCAGCAGATGGGTTAGTAACCTGCCTGAATTCTCCCAGATCAGGGATGCATGTGTGTTACCTTCTATTTCCGGAGCGTGGACGGTGAAGAGCTCAAATGCTGGCGACTGTGCACAGCTAGCGGAGGACGGCTGATAGGGACCCATGTGATATAAGAGCTAGAGGCCACCAAATGAAACTAATGGGCAGCAGGTTTAAAACAAATAAAAGAAAGTTCTTCACACAGCGCATAGTCAACCTGTGGAACTCCTTGCCTGGGGAAGTTGTGAAGGCTAGGACTATAGCAGGGTTCAAAAGAGAACCAGGTAAATTCATGGAGGTTAAGTCCAGCAATGGCTATTAGCCAGGAAGGAATGGTGCCTCTAGCCTCTAGATGGATGGTAGGAGAGAGATCGTTTGATCATTACCTGTTCAATTCCCTCCCTCTGGGGCACCTGGCATTGGCCACTGTCGGCAGACAGGAGACTGGGCTAGATGGACCTTTGGTCTGACCCGGTCTGGCCGTTCTTACGATACGTTTCGTGCTGGGGCAGTGACGTGCAGGCACCTCCTGTGAAGCAGAGAAGTTGCGAGTAGCGTGTCTGTGTTAATTGGGCAGAGCGCAGTGCTACGGGCCCGGTCTGGGGAACACCGGGGGGCCTCTCAGCCTGCGGGGATGTCTGTAGGGCTTTCCCACCTGTCGGGTCATCATAGAATTGTGGGTCGAAGCACTTCCTGGTTTGTTTCCAGGTAAGTGAGTGAAAAGAGACCACATACAAGCCCTGGGCACGTCCCCTAGGATCAGTTACCGAACTTAAATAGGTGTTTCACTCGGCTCCTCTGCCAAGAACTGCCTTCCGTACACCAGCCATGCCCTCACCACATGCCAAAGGGCACATGGAACAAAAGCGCCGAGAGAGCTGACAGATCCGGGCTCTTTTGCAGGCGTGTGGGAGAGACCAGAGCCCTGGGACCCATGCGGGGAACCTCCTGCCAGCAGCCTCCCATCTGTTACAACCTTAGGGGATTACGCGCCTTTGTAACTGGTAATGTAGCGCTCAGAGCATTTGGCTGCGTTTCACCTAGTTAGTGTTGACTTACGGCTTCCAGTTTTAATGATCCGCTTTCCTTTGTATACCTCTCCATTCTGCCCGAAATGTGCCATTGTTGGCAGCGGCCATCACTTCTTTCTCTAGAAACTGTTTGTGGCAGGGGGGGGGGGGAGGCGGATGCTCTCGTGCGTGACTGCTCTGTGACCTCCCCTCCCGTGTCTTGGTGCGGTGTTTGTTTTGTGTGAAGTAAGATGCTTTCTACTCCTCCGCCCCCGGTCCGTATCTGGGCTTGTGTTAGGGTTGGCTAGTTGGGCAGGGTTTTCATGGACTAAACAAAGCTTCCGCGGGGTTTGGAAATATCTGGCTGAACAGGACTCTGATTCCACTGAACTAAATATCCTGGTTCGCTGTCTTCAGGGGAAGGCTGACGCGGTCAGGTTAACTCTTGGAATGCCAAAGGCGTTTGGGGTTTTGAAATGCAATATGGCCGTGTGGGCGCGATGGTCATGCTTGTGAATTCATGGTGGTTTGGTTTTGTCTGCTCAGGAATTTAAGGAAGGTCGCCGGGCCAGCCACACAGCTCCACAGGTGCTCTTCAGCCACAGGGAACCCCCCTTGGAACTGAAAGACACGGACGCAGCAGTGGGTGACAACATCGGCTACATCACCTTTGGTAAGCTGGGGCTAGGAAGGGCGCTGGCTCTCCGCCCTGCAGTGTTCATGGTCACAGCTGCTTTTGGTGGTCTCGTGGCCTGAGGCTGGGTGTGAAACTCCTGAGGACGTGGTTCTTCATGTGGAGGGGGCTGTGTTGCAGAGACGGGTGCTGTCAGTCACCTCATATGGAGGGGGCTGTGTTGCAGAGACAGGTGCTGTCAGTCACCTCAGGGGATCCGTTACCTCTCCAGCTGGGCAGTGAGTCCTGCGCTCATCCATCCGAATGTGGATGTCGGGCAGTTGTCTTGCTCCGCGTCGTGCTCCCAGCTAGGGATGTGAAGGGCTAGTCCACAGGATAGTCGGCTAGTTGCTCCCCCTCCCACCTCTACGAGAGGCAGCAAGGAGGGAGGAGAAGAGAGAGGTACTTAAAAGCGGCAGCGCCGCACGGCGCCCAGGGTCAGTTAGGCTCCGTGCAGCGTGCCAGCTTTGAAATGTACAAGAGTCCAAGCGGGGGTTCTTGCGCATTTCAAAGCGGCAGCGCCCCGTGGGGCCCGGAGTCAGCGGGACTTCCCACTGGCCCTCGGCTCCACACGTCGTTCCAACTCTGAAATGCACAAGACCCCCGCTGGGGACTCCTGTCCATTTCGAAGGTGGAACGCAGACGTGCTTATCGAGTAGCTGATGGAAATTCCATCGACTGCGCCTCGCAAATTAATCGCTACTTAACATCCCTACTCCCAGCTGGTGTCGACAGTCCCTATTGCACACACGTTCTTAGCCCAAAACCGCGGCGTGGCTCAGCAAGGTGGGTCACCTGTGGCTCAAGACGGAGAGGGAAGGCTGCAAATTGGTCCAAGCAGTGTGGGGAAATGTTCAGCGCTTTGGTGTTACTGGCACGTTGTCACCCCAGCTTTACGTAACAGCAGGAATGGCAGGGTGAGAGACACGGAACGCCTGCTGTTTGAGATGTTCTGGGGGTAGGAGAAGTCCACATCTTGATCTGTCATCTCGCCTTGCCCGTTGATGAGAATCACGTGTACCCGGTTGCTCTCTTCCGAGGGTTCTCTGGAACAGCAGAGGAGGAAGTAGAAGGGACGGCTAATGATTTGATAGTCCGGCTCATTAAGCATGTTAAATAGCGGGAACAAAAACGCCTGCTGTTTGAGATGTTCTGGGGGTAGGAGAAGTCCACATCTTGATCTGTCATCTCGCCTTGCCCGTTGATGAGAATCACGTGTACCCGGTTGCTCTCTTCCGAGGGTTCTCTGGAACAGCAGAGGAGGAAGTAGAAGGGACGGCTAATGATTTGATAGTCCGGCTCATTAAGCATGTTAAATAGCGGGAACAAAAGTTTGTGGTGTTTTGAAAAGACCATTTCAGCTGTCGACACATGGGGTGTAGCTACCCCCCTCCCAGGCCCCCGCCGTAGAAAAGAGCGGCCTGGGACCACATACCGAAAACTTT